CTTCCACAATGGTTGAATTAATTTACACTCCCACCAACAGTGTAAAAGTGTTCCTATTTGTCCACATCCTCTCCAGCATCTGTTGTCTCCAGATTTTTTAATGATCACCATTCTAACTGGTGTGAAATGGTATCTCAATGTGGTTTTGATTTGCATTTCTCTAATGACCAGTGATGATGAGCATTTTTTCATATGTTTGTTGGCCTCCTGTATGTCTTCTTTTGTAAAGTGTCTGTTCATATCCTTTGCCCATTTTTGGTTTACTTGTTCCAGGTCTGAGTTCAGGTCTTGGATATCCTTGTTGATTTTCTGTCTGGTTGATCTGTCTAATATTGATAATGGGGTGTTAAAGTCTCCCACTATTATTGTGTGGGAGTCTAAGTCTCTTTGTAAGTCATTAAGAACTTGCCTTATGTATCTGGGTGCTCCTGTATTAGGTGCGTATATATTTAGGATCGTTAGCTCTTGTTGCAGTGATCCTTTTACCATTATGTAATGTCCATCTTTGTCTCTTTTGATCTTTGTTGCTTTAAAGTCTATTTTATCAGAGGTGAGAATTGCAACTCCTGCTTTTTTTTGCTCTCCATTTGCTTGGTAGATCTTCCTCCATCCCTTTATTTTGAGCCTTTGTGTATCCTTGCATGTAAGATGGGTTTCCTGGATACAGCACACTGATGGGTTTTGGCTTTTTATACAATTTGCTAGTCTGTGTCTTTTGATTGGGGCATTTAGTCCATTTACATTTATGGATACTATTGTTATGTGTGAATTTGATACCATCATTTTGATACTACCTGGCTGTTTTGTTGGTTAGTTGATGCAGATTCTTGATTGTCTTGATGCTCTTTTACCATTTGGTATGCTTTTGGAGTGGCTGGTACTGGTTGTTCCTTTATATGTGTAGAGCCTCTTTCAGGAGTTCTTGTAGAGCAGGTTTGGTGGTGATGAAATCTCTGAGTTTGCAAAGGATTTTATTTTTCCTTCACTTATGAAGCTTAGTTTGGCAGGATAGGAGATTCTGGGTTGAAAGTTCTTTTCTTTAAGGATGTTAAATATTGGCCCCCAATCTCTTCTGGCTTGTAGGGTTTCTGCTGAGAGATCTGCTGTGAGTCTAATGGGCTTCCCTTGGTGGGTAACCCGACCTTTCTCTCTGGCTGCCCTTAGCATTTTCTCTTTCATTTCAACCCTGGTGAATCTGATGATTATGTGCCTTGGGGTTGCTCTTCTTGAGGAATATCTTTGTGGTGTTCTCTGTATTTCCTGGATTTGAATATTGGTCTGCCTTGCTAGGTTGGGGAAGTTTTCCTGGATAATATCTTGAAGAGTATTTTCCAGCTTGGATTCATTCTCTTCATCACATTCAGGTACACCTATCAAACGTAGATTAGGTCTTTTCACATAGTCCCACATTTCTTGAAGATTTTGTTCATTCCTTTTTGTGCTTTTTTCTCTGTTCTTGCCTTCTCTTTTTATTTCATTAAGTTGATCTTCGACCTGTGATATCCTTTCTTCTGCTTGTTCAATTCGGCTGTTCAAACTTGTGCGTGCTTCACGAAGTTCTTGTGTTGTGTTTTTCAGCTCCATCAATTCACTTATATTCCTCTCTATGCTGTCCATTCTCATTAGCATTTCGTCCAATCTTTTTTCAAGGTTCCTAGTTTCTTTGCGTTGGGTTAGAACATGTTCTTTTAGCTCACTGTAGTATCTTACTACCCACCTTCTGAAGTCTGATTCTGTCATTTCATCACCCTCCTTCTCCATCCACTCTGGTTCCCTTGCTGGTGAGGAGTTGTGATCCCTTTTAGGAGGAGAGGTGTTCTGGTTTCGGGAGTTTTCATCCTTTTTGTGCTGGTTTCTTCCCATTTTTGTGGATTTATCCACCTGTTGTCTTTGTAGTTACTGTCTTTCAGATTGGGTCTCTGAGTGAGCTTCTAGTTCCTGGATGCTGAAGTTACTTCTTCTTCTTCTTCTTCTTCTTTTTTTTTTTTTTTTTTTAAGCTTTCCTTCTAACAGTCTGGCCCCTTTGCTGTAGGACTGCTGAGGTCCTCCCTGGGCCCTGCTTGCCTGGGGATCACCTGCAGCAGCTGCAGAACAGTAAGGGTTGCTACCAATTTCCTCTTCCGCTATCTTTGTCCCTGAAGGATGCTCGCCAACTGTCAGTCCATTCTCTCCATTATGAGGTGAGTCTTTGGATCTATGGGGGTCAGGGAGCTACTTGAGGAGACAGTCTATCTTTTATTGAGGCTTAAGTTCTGAGCTGTGAGCTCCACTGTTCATTCAGAACTGCTGGGCAGGCACGTTTAGGTCTGCTGCAGCTGAACTCATAAACCACTTTTTATTCCCAGGTGCTCTGTCCCCGGGAGTTAGGGTTTCATGAGTTTCTGTTGTGCTGCTGCACTTGTTTTCAATTTCAGGTCTGCCCCGCCCAGCTATCAGCCCACTTGGTCACTGCCTGCCCACAGAGGCTTTGCTGAGCTGCTGTGGGATCTGCCCAGCTGCCCTGTGCTCTTCCTTGCAGTCCTGTTTATATGGGCGTAGTTAGAACTGTCTCGGCAACAGTGGCCCCGCCTCTGTTATGGCGGACTCTCTCTGTTGTGGCAGGTTGCCTCGGCAATGGCGGGTTGCCTCGGCGATGGCGGCCTGCCTCTGTAGTGGTGGAGAGTCTCAGTAACGGTGGAAGCCCCTCCCCCACCGAGCTGGACCATCCCGTGTTCAGCTGTACTTGCTGTGAAACACTCAACCCAGGGCGTTTTCAATCACTGTTTTTGTTTTCCTTGTTGTGGGGGTGGGAGGTGGGACCAACCGAGCCTGATCACCTGGCTCCCTGACTCAGAGTCTCTTTTTATATTTTTTAAGTTGAACAACCCCGCATTCCAGTGGCTTGTTGAAAAGGCACCGGGATCTCCCGTGCTGCGACTCACTGAGTCGGCTCAAACTGCGGCACCGGCTCCTGGTGTTTTTTTTTGCCTAGGAATCTCCTGGCCTGGCTTGCTATTTCAGATGAATGGGCAACTCTGCCATCTCAGGGCTCTGATCGCCAGCTAAGAGGGCTTCCAGACCAGTGGCTTTTGTACGGAGAACCGCTGTGACAGGGCATGGTCACAGCAGCCGCTCGGGCCGAATCAGCCCCGCGGGGGCCAAAACAGCTGCACCGGCCAGAACAGCGGCGCTGGCGACCCCTCTGCCTGGGTATCTCCTGGTCTGTGGGCAATAAAAATTCATCTGGAAATGCGGCATCCACTCACCCTCTGCGCTTTCACTGGGAGCTGAAGTCCTGAGCTGTTCTTAGGCGGCCATCTTCCCAGCATTCTCCTATATGTTCACTTTATGATGATGTTCTTTGAAACCCAAAAGTTTTCAATTTTTATGAATTCCAATTTATCTGTTTTTTTCCTTTATCACTTGTGCTCTTAGTGTTGTCTGTGGATTGAAACCATTGCCTAACCCAAAGACACAAAGAATCACTCATGTTTTCTTCTAGAAGTTTAATAACCTTAGCTTTTATGTTTAGGTATATGGTACATTTTGAGTTGATTTTTTTAAGGTTTAGAATTCAATTTTTCAAGCTCTTTGTTCAGAAGGCTTAGATGGTTGGAATAATCTTCACGTGTTTTTAAAAATTTTGTAAACTATATAGATAATGACATAAAAATAAGCAGTGTTTTTAATAGACATTTTCAGCAACAAAATTGTGGAACAATGGCAACATTTCCAAATACAGTTTTTCAAATGCTCTCCCCATGGTAGAAGTAGTTTTGAAAAGTGATTGCTTTCTTACTCATTATTAAAATGTTATCTTTATTTTGAAAAGACAGATTAAGTATGTTTTGCCTTTTGGAAAATACCTGGTAGGTAGCATGCACTACTGATAGTCATTGCTGTAAATACATAAACAGTCAGTGGAGAATTCTTCTCTGTGTGAACGGAAATTGCTTATCTTTAAATCCAACTCTTAAACACTTGGCCATAGGAGAAACCAGTGAAGTAATGGTCTAATTTCACATTTTACATATTGTTTTAAAACAACAGTTTTGTAAAACATCCGGTTGTCCCAATGCCATTTGTTGAAAATACAATTCTTTCCCCTACTGAATTGTCTTGTCATGCTTGTTGAAAATTAATTGAAATAAGTATTATTCCCTTCCATTTTAATGCTGGCCTTAATGTTCCCATTCACGATCTTATCTCTTATCCCATTCAAGGCAGTACCACTGGCTCACCCTTGTATAAACAGATCAAAGAGAGCCTGTCTAAAAGTTTGAGTGTGTTTATTTTTAAACTTGGAGAAGGGAGAGTCTCTCTAGGCAGCAAAGAAACCCCAGAAGCTGTAAAAGAAAAGATATATACATACGACTATAGGCAAATTTTGCATTTCTGTTTGGCACAGGAGTGCTCAAAGGAAAACAAATCTGAGGAATGGATTTGCAACAGACATGACAAATCAGAGCCGAATTTTCTTCATCTTTAAGGAACCCATCAGTAAGACATTTATAAACTAATAGAAAGGCCAGGAAAGAATAGGAAAAAGGACATTTAAAAGATGTTCAGTATCTCTCTTACTTAAGGAGCTGCAAATAAAAATTATGGATTACCGTGGCTTTTCCTCAGGAAGGCAAACATTAAAACGCCGGCTCATGGGAAGTGCTGCTAGTGACTGGGTGATGGTGGGGAACAGATATTATCACAAATTATGGGATTGCAGGTTGTTGCTACTATTATGGATTGTAATTTGCCAATGTCTGTTAAAATACAAATTGCTCATATTTTGATCTGCAAATTTCATTGCTATGAATACTTGCTAGAGTGAAGAAAATGAACAAAAGCAAAACAAAACAACGCACTTGGAAGTAGCCTAAATGTTTAATCAGGAATACTAAACAGTCACCACGTAGCTTCATATATCTTAATACGGAAAAATCCCTAAAAATATTTTCAAGGGAAAATTTAAAAGACTGTAGAATGCACATCGTATGGACCAAATTGTATACATTTCCCCCCAACAAATCAGAACGTTCACAGACCCATGTGTTTCAGAAACAGACCAGGAAGTGAAACCTCATCATACTTTAAAAAAATGTAAATATAAAATAAAATGTATAAAAACACAATGTAAAGGCAAACATGGGGAGTGAAAATTAAAAATTTCACGTGTGTCAGCGTAACATTAAGTCTAAGCTTAGTGTGTGTGGTTGCTCTTCTTAAAAGGATGTGTTAAGCACCTGATAATAGTGATTATCGTTTGTGAGAGGAACTAGGGAGAGAAAGATGTGTGTACTTTTCATTTTATAGCACTGCACATCACTGAGCAGCCTGATCCCGGGCAGGGCATTATTTTTACTTTAAGAAATATGGTTAGTTGGGATTATTTGAGTGTTGGAATTATATAAGCCAGTGTTTTCCGGCTTTCTAGATCTCGGTATTAAAATACAGTTACAGTTTTTTTTTTTTTTTAAATTAACATTCTTAAAATACCCACCAGTTGTACCTTACCAACTGCAGTCAAGTTTCTGAAGCTTGTTAGGTGGTGGGGCTGCTTGAAGCCATGTGCTTGCAAGAGAATGCTGTTCAATGTTGACATTCATCATCCGCCTCTTTTTAAATAGTTTAGGAAAACTACTCCTAACATAAAATTTACAGTTTCACCATTTTTAAGTGCGCCGTTCAGTGGCATTAGGTACGTATTCACATTGCTGTGCAGCCATCATCATCCAACTCCAGAACTCTTTCCATCATCCCAGGCTGAAACCCTGTCCCCATTACCAATAGTTCCTCACTCCTCACTCCCTCCAGCACCTGGTAACCACCAGTCTACTTTCCGTTTCTATGATTTTGGCTGCTCTAGGGACCTCATGTAAGTGTGATCATACCATATTTGTCTTTCTGGGACTGGTTTACTTCACTTAGGATAATGTCCTCAGGGTTCATCTGTGTTGTGGTGAGTCCGAATTTCTTTCCTCTGCAAGACTGAATCATATTCCATTGTCTGTATGGGCCACATTTTGTTTCTCCATTGATCCACAGACAAACACCTGGGATGCTTCCACCTTTTGGCTGTTGTAAATAGTTCTGCCATGAATATGAGTGCACGAGTGTCTGTGTGAGACCCTGCTTTCAATTCTTTTGGAAATTTGCCCAAAAGGGGAATTTCTGGATCATGTGGAAATTCTATATTTAATCTTTTGAGGAACCACCATACTGTTTTCCACATGGCTGCACCATTTAACGCTCTTACTAGTAATGCACAAGAGTTTCAACTTCTCCACATCCTTGCCAATGGTTGTGTGTGTGTGTGTGTGTGTGTGTGTGTGTGTGTTTTCTGATGGTGGCCATTCAAATGAGTGCAAGCTGATATCTCATTGTGGTTTTGATTTGCATTTTTTACCTGCTCATTCTTACAGCAAACACTCAACTGCCAGCTCACAGGTGCCAGGGCTTGGGATAAGCACAGGTGCCCAGAGGGCCCCTGCTGTCATCACCCTCAGGGTGGGGTGGATGGACCGATAAGCAAATGCAAGCTGGCCTTACCCCTCCTGGCGCACAGTGAGGGGTAACCTGCTTTGGCATCATGGGGGCCGTGAGGGGGGGGTGCGACGCTCTTTTTCTGCATTATCTCCAGTACTTCCTAGTAGGCTAGAGAGAGGGAGTCCCAAATACTTAGGAAAAAATTATAGAATAACACTTATCAGTGAGAAATTTCTACTTGTTTACTTATTGTTCTCACTGCAAACTGATAAAAGACAAGCATTCTTTGATTTTGGTGTCAGAACGCTGGGTTCTTTGAAACATGTTCCAAGCACCACAGGCTTCAATGAAACATGTATTTCCACAGAGATGAAAGAAGAGGGAGGGGGAAACATCCCCTGTGCAACTGCTTCATGTGCAGCCCTGGCTGTGTGGAGGAACAGTTCAGGCAGCACCACAACCACCCCCTGGCATTTGCAGAGGGCATTTAACTCTTCAAAGCTCTGCCTCATAATCAAAGGAGGTAGTGTCCATGCAGAGAAAAGGTTATTGGTTTCTTTTTCCTGCTCTATAATTACCCATGTGCTTCATGCGCCTGGTGGAAATTATATTTATAACAGTGTATGCAAAGGCTTATTTCCTCAGTGAAGTTACATTTTCTTAGCTACTTTCTCCTGTTTCCTTAATGTGGGCCTCATTAACCACTTTTTATACATTTTTGTTGATGTTAGCTCCTTGGCTAGTGATGTTCTCATGTGGAGCTATCTTGGAGATAGGACGTAAAATGTATGTGTGTTTATAAATATAGCATTCTGGAAAAATCAGTTATTAAAAAACAAAACAAGAAAGATTTTATAGCCAAGTCGTAGAAGTCTAAGCTGGTATTTCTTTATAATGCCATTGGTTGATCCGTACTATGCAAGTAATTGCTACATTTAAAAATGTGATAAGTTTTAGTGTTTACTCCTGCTGAGTGAATTTTTTTTTTTTCAGGATAACAGGCATTCTTCCTGTACTCTGAGTCATAGGTCAAAAAGTGACTCTTAGATTCTTGTTTATACTCTTTCTGGAAGCTTCTGTCTCCATTGTGCAGTGGTAAAAGTGCCCTGTTTTGTTTTGTTTTGTTTTGTGTGTGTGTTGAGGGGGTGGTATGGAAAGGGAATGGGATGTGATGCCTTATAGGTGAAGAGGTTTCTCTTACTCCCTCAGGCTACAGGATGTCCCATCATGGTGTGAGCTTTGGCAGCCTGGCTGGTTTCTTCAGGCCCTGGGAGGAAAATAGAGCAGCAACGTTCAGGGACCTGATGTGCCCAGAGAGGTTCCCAGAGCACTGTGTCCACTGGAGGATCTTTCTAGTTTTTTATTCACTCAAGAAATCTGAGTTCATTATCTCTATTATGGGTTGACTTTTGTCCTATCAAAAGTATGTTGGAGCCCTAGCCCCAGATACCTGTGAATGTGACCATACCTAGAAATTGGGTCTTCGCAGGTACAATCAAATTAGGATGATGTCACAGGAAATCAGAATGAGCCCGAATTCCATATGATTGCTGCCCCTCTAAGATGAGGAGAAAAGACAAACCCAGACTCAGAGAGGATACCAAGTGAAGATGGAGGGAGGGGTGGGAGTGTCTGCAAGCTAAGGAGCATCAGGGATTTGTTGTAAACCCCAGAAGCCATAGAGAGGCCCGAAGACACCTGGATTTTAGGCTTCTAACTTCCAGGACTGTGAGAGAGTAAATGTCTGCTGTGTCTCGCCATCGGATCCATGGTCATTTGCTATGGCAGCCCCGGGAAACTCCGACAACGTCCAGTGTCCCAGATGCCACCTGACACCGAGGAGCCTTAGGTGAAGGGGGCAGTGCCTTTGCCCTGCAAAGGTAACATCGATGAAGAAACAGACCCATGGAACGGGTGCGGTGGGTCCCATGGAGGACGGCGGGCTTTGGAGTCAGACCAACTTGACTTCCAGTTGGGAGCTGATTTTTTTAAACTTCCTGGAGTTTTGGCTTTTTCCTTTTTACAGTGCAGGGCACCAGGGTCCTTCTCATGGGATTCCTGGTGGAAGAGTGAACACAGCCTTGGAGCTGAATGAGTCTGACCAGGGCCCAGCCCACTGAAGGCCCCCAGCTAACGCTTGCTGTGGAAGGCCTGGACACACCTCTACTCACTTCAGGTCATCCATTTAGAGTCAGTCTCTCCTCTTTCAAATTCGCTTTGGTAATTTTTGTCCTCACATAGTGTTTATTTAAGGAACCATTCGGTTGGTTGAAACCTCACAGCATTTAGGTTTTGGCTCAATGCATTGGAACAATCTAAAAGGTATTTATAGCTAAAAACATGTGTGCACCCCAAACCACATGATTTTACGTCTCCTAACACTTGAATGAGCTCTGGTTTGGTTTGGATCTTTAAACCTTCCTGTGGTGTGGAGGGGAGTGAATTTTCCAACATCCCTCTGTCATCTCTGTCAATATCTTGGTCCCACTCCATCCATCGGCCGGAGCTGCAGTCTTCATCAGGCGACACACAGGCAGCTCCTGATGATGACAACGTGGGCAGATGCTGTGTGAGGACCTGGATGGCCGTTGTTGGCTGATACTGAAAAAGACACTTTAACAGCTCTTAACCTGCCTTTCTCTGGACTCACTTCAAGTCCCTTAACAGACACCTTCTGTGGAAAAAAAAAAAAAGTTTTTCATTTTTGGGTCTTGGCAAGACATAAACACAGGAAAAAACATTTCTTCTGTTCCTTCTATATACCTGTGTAGGAACAAGCCTGTATTTAGGAAATTTGTCCTTTTTGAAAAACTCATTTTTTTCAAAAATACCCAGCCAATACCATGACCTTAACGTGCATTCCAGCAATATCTCCAAAGGCAGCAGAGGGAGTGGGACACAGAAGCATCAGCCCTGCCCTGTCGGGGACTGAAGTCAGGCCGGAGCAGACAGTGGAGAAGGAAATATTTGGAGAAATGAGAACTGTGTTTTTATTCTTTTGTTGCCAGAAAGCCAAAACCAAAGCTGGAATCTTGTGGTTCCAGCACTTTTTGTGCCTCCCAGTCATTTTTCACAGATGGTTCTGGTTTAAGGAGAAGGCGCTTCATCCACGAGAGGGAATGGGGCCAGTGATGCCCTCAAGCTGCCCATTCTCATGCCTCGGTTTACTCCACAGCTGGAGAAGATGACAGCTGAGAGAAGACGGTTTGAAAGCCACCAATTAGGATGCAAAAACGGAGCAGTAAAATTACTCTGCAACACTGAACCTTGAACTTTCCTTTACATTATGTCGCCTTGGGGACACCAACTGCAGAGTCACTCAGGAGTTTCCTGGAGCCCTACCTCCTACAAAGGCGACACTCACGTTTGGGTAGTTCTCCATTTGCTTCTCTCTTTTCACTCACTTCTGAGCAGGTTGGTGGCTTGCCATGCATCAAGAATTTAGGAGAGAATGGGGGATGCCAAAGGTGTGTAGGTGGCATCAACTCTTCCCTTCACTCCTGAGTGGGCAAAGCCTTTCCTGACCACTTCTCTCTTCAGCAGCCCCTTGTCATACTCATTCTTTCGCCCCTTCCACCACTCATCACCACTCCTTGAAATCTGCCA